TATCATCAAAAAAAAATTCATTCAATAAGAAATTAGCTGCGTGTATGTAACTTTGCCGTAGATGTTGTATGATATTCAGAAATATTTTAATGTTTTAGGCATTTTGTCTGAAAGTTACCAAATGAGATCGGAAGTTAGCAAGTTACCAAAGAGAATAAAAGTTACCAATTTTGGTAACATTTAACCAAAGTGGTAACCGTGGCCACCACGCCAAAGATTTTCAATTCCATCACTGTAAGACGAAATTTACCATAGTGAAAAGCTAAATGAAAAATAAGAACGAAAACGAAAAGAGAAACAGAAATCGAATAAGCACTAGGCAGAGGGGATGCTTGCGGAGGCAGAGGCGTGCTGGTCTACCAGATCAAAACAAAAACTAAAATAAAAATGGAAGTTAGAATGACAAGTGTGGAGAATGAAGCGCTTAACGGGGAAAGAAGCGGGTTTTTGTACATTTGCTTGCTTGCGAAAATATGAATATTTGCATGAAATCGATTTGGTGATTGCGAATTTATTTTTACAAGCATGTTTGTATTTTTTTCTTTCGGCTAAATTTATGAGCTTTTCTAAGGCAATATTTTGATTTTTTTCGACAATCGTCTAGCATACATTGCTACTTTTAAGCAAGATTCAACAAAAACCAAACCAAAAACCAAAAAATATTAAATATGTTCATATGCATGTTAAGAAAATGTATTTCTTTAAGTTTAATGTTGCCATGCTTTAGAGCACTGGTAAGGTAGATTGCGGATTGTACGATAAAGAGGAAGAGAAGAAGGAAGATTAGAATAAGTGTCAAGAGTAGAGTAGGTGTCTGCTGTTAGCAGATAAAAATACTATTTAATAATTATAAATTGTGAAAAGGTATTGGCAGATAAAAGAATAAACTTTAATTGTCGTTTCTTTGTTATTATAGGTAAGAGTTTTTGTAAATAGTGTACATAGAATAGTTTTAACGCAAAATATACTTTGTTATTATAGAGCAACACATCATTGTTCATTTGATCGCTCCATTTCCAAAATTCTGTAAATTAATCTTATATGCAAGTTAACAGCAGACCACCCATAACGGTTTAAATACATATTGTAAACAATAAAGTTTAAATACAGAAAGCATATTCCCATACTCAGTTTTTAATTAAAATCATAAAGCAACAACCTCTGTAATTTAATATCACATATTGAACTAAAATAACAAATGGCCAAAATGCTGACGGCAGCATCTTTGCATTCTTAATTAAATTCTTTGCGATCGAAGATCAAACCAAAATACCACATAGCGACATTGTAGCCAATGTAAACATAGCCGCATTCCAATAGCCCAGAACGCATAACGTGCAACAATATCTTTTCCGTTCCTCCTGTAAACTTTTGATTAAGACAACAATATCGCATTTCTCACGCATTGGCATTTCATCCATCCACTGGCTGATGCAACGCCAAAGCGTCATTGTGAAATTAGTTCTTAATGTTAGCTTATAAATAAGGGTCAATTGAAATAAAGACTTCACTTCTGATAATTGTCCGCGAGATGCGGATTAAGAAAAGCATCGTTTTTATTTTTTAAAAACGCTTTCCTCGGAAAGGAAAGCTTAAGTGGCGCCCAACAACGTGGGGCACATGCGAATTTTAAACCGCTAGTGGCAACTAATATCTTTGGGTAAATAAGGAGAAAACGCCAAGTATCTTTACCCAAAGAATATTAAAAGTGGTGAAAATGCGTGTGTGAAAACAGAGGTCTTTGGCTAAATAAGGAGAAAACAAAAATTATCCTCGCCAAAAAAGACGAATAATGCAGAACTAAAAAAGTATTTCTAAAAAAGATGGAATACATTTTTACGGGTAAAAAATAGAAATAAGTATCCTCTCCGGAGGAGAAAAAATTAAAAATCTAAAACCGCGTTATCGATCGGATAACCATAAAAACTTCGGTTAATTTAAAAACCCGTGTTTAAAATGAACAGTGATTGTGTGCACTTTAAATAATGCATAGCTTCCAAATTACAAGCAAATGTACCACAAAAAGTAGCAATTAAAATGCGTAAAATTAAATAAACGCCTAAAACAAAGCAAGAAGCAGTAACTATAAATCTCAGAAAATCCAAATTGAGAAAATCATAAAAGTGCGTGTTCCAAATAAACGAGCCACGACAAGGCAAAGGAAAACTCAAAGTTTCTAAAGTCCTTTCAGACACAGTGAACAAAAAATAATGATTTTCTAACTGATCCTCCAATTTGTGCGATACCAGCAAGGCATAAACACAAATGAAAGCCTGAAAAACACTGAAAAGGAACGAAGTGACAATAAGAGGATAATAACAAATAGAGCAGGGCATAGTAACGTCAACAAGGACAGCGGCAACAACACGCAACACCTTACCTTCTGTAATTACAACAGCAAGTTCACATGGAATAGAGTAAGTTATATTATTTACCCTTAAGAAGTCTTATTTATATATATATATATATATATGTGTAAACAACAACTGTAAAAATATTATAGATGCTTTACCAATAGATTTGGACTACGACGACATAAATAGCATTGTAGACAACTTAGAATTAGAAGTAAACACTCGCAAGTTTACTGAAGAACCTGCTCCAACAGATGAGAATATTTTTTGGAAAGACATACTGACTGACGAAAATAAAGCAATGGAAAAAGTTTTTAAATTTATTGGAAAAAATCTGTGTTCGTATGGAAAAGTAGCTTATGGCGAAAGGCTGGCTTTAGTATAATGTGGCATTCCCTTTATTCTTTAAACGACAAGAAATTTTTCGATGAGACTTAATAAGAATATTGACTTGCTAGTATCGGAACTATTTCTGGCACGTTTATTTGCCAAACGTTGTTCAACGGCTCAGTGCCTGTGAATCATTCGCAATCACATGCTGCGAATGCCGATTTATACTAAATCCAGCCCTTCGACATAAGCTACTTTTCCATACGAACACAGAAATAAAAAGCGACTGCCGCGGACTGCGACAACAAAAAAATGCTTGAAGAAGAATCAGTAGCAATGATTCGCAAAATAAATATAAAATACGGCTTGTACAGCCCATAAGTTACTAATGAAATCGCAATTCCGGTTTATAAATTAAGCTTAATTCTGCGATTCTGAGCTCCAGACCCTCCAGAGTATAAAAGCCTCCTTTCCCAGAAGGGACCAAAAAAAAAAAATAAAAAATTCGAATGGGCAATAGTCCCAGCAAACCAAAATACGAGCGTTTACATTATTGCGAAAATTGTGGCAATAATCACAAGACGACGAAGTGTCCATATGTGAATAAAAGTAATTTTCATAAAAAAGGCTAGCACAGCTTATTACATTTTTAAATAAAAAGCCGCGATTCACCAACACAAGGGGGAACGTCCGGTCTTATAAATTAAGCTTAGCTTTGCGATTCCTACGGGACTCTTCAAAGTGAAAAAGCACTATAATAAAAAATACAAATAATAATAGAAAAAAAAGGTAAATTTTTACAAAAAACAGTAAAAAAT